AATTATACAACCTTGACAAAAAACCATGATTCTTCGCTATTGTACTTACAAACTTGTCCATTAGAAGGTCAGCCACCCCTTTATTTGTGTCTTTGAAAATTAGTGCCAAGGAAATTGATGAAAGTCAACCAATAAAAAATGCAGATAAAAAATTAAAAAAAACCAATAAAATGTCCATGGAAGGACATATTGGAGTCCATTTAAAACCCACCACCACCGAGGACAAATTTGATGATCCTACTACAGTCTACACTACACGCAATCGATCAAGGTTAAAACGTTATTTTAATCCCTCAATTTTTATATGAATTTCTTTTTTAATCATTTAACTTAAAAAAGCCATTTTTGATTCCTAAAACTTATTTTCCTAACTCATTTTTTGTCCCTCCATCAATTACATGGCATTATTTCTCTGTTAAGTCAACTTTAAATTTAAATTCATATGCTAATGTGTGAAAGAAATGTAAAAATTATAGTTAATTTAGATAAAAATACTAAGATAAAAAATGACGGACTTATTTGAATATATTAAAAATTACTTTTAGGAAAAATCAAACACAAATTATGAAAAAACCATATTAGCCTCTTCTTCCTGCCCATTGCTTCTCTCTCTTGTCCCTTTCATTCCAAACTCTTCGATAGGTGGAGATGAATTTCAAGTTTCCTTAACAATGAAAAGAAAAATAAAAACTTTTTAACATTTTTGGATTTTCATTTTCATAGTGAAACCAAAATAGAAGATTTGAGTTGACAATTTTGTATTTTATTGCTCGAAATATGTAAAAGGTATAGTTCTTCGATGTCAAACATTTTTTCTGTTCTGTCTTTTTTGAAATTTAGTTAGGGGAGGGGAGAATCATGTTATTTTCTTCATAAAGATTGATTTTTTTTGAAGTTATTTTTTTTTAACCTCCACAAAAAGTTAATTTTCTCTATTATTAGTATAAGATTGGTTGAAATTCCAAAAATGGCATTTCTCAAACCATATCTAACATCCGTGCAAACCAAAATTCAAGTTGGATTTAACTTTAGGTTCCGAATTGAATATTGGGTTTGCTAGCCATCATCTCAAAAAGGAGTAGACTTGATCACATTTTGTTAGGTGGCATCCACAGCAACATTGGGTTTGATTGAAGTTGGTGTTAATGAATTTTCTTGGCTAAATCTGCATTTCAGTCCCTCTACTTTGATAAAAAAATTTATTTTTATCCATTTCCTTTGAAGTTTTTTTATCAAAATAAAGGGATCAAATTGGAGTTTTAACCATTTTTTTAATCTGTAAGCAATTTATTGTATCTTTAGGGACTAGAACATGGCGTTTTTAAGTTGTGAGACTAAAAAGAGACTCCATACAAAAGTTAAGAGACTAAATAAAATTTTAACCATCAATCTGCAATTGAGAACACTTATTGAGTACAATATAAAAAATTATTTTGGTGTTATATTATTAAAATTAATGTTATTTTATATGAATTTGTATTTTAAATATTTAACCTTAAAATACAACATTTAATGGCATACTAACTCTTTAATATATATATTTAAATAGAGCTTCTTCAAAAATTATATTAATAATTTTATTTAACCCAATTCAAAGAAAATTTTTTAATTAAAATTTTTTAATTAAAATATATATATTTTAAAAAAAATGTAGACATTGGATCAAAATGATCTGATAGCATTGAAGTAAAATTGCATCGGCTGAGAAGCTCTCAGACAATGCAAATTCCAAAAGCCGAAAACCAATTTTAAAAAGAAAAAAAAAGAGTGTCTCTCTCTCTCTCTTATAACAATCTCCGATGAATTAATTAAAGTTCTTCTATTTATATTTTATTTTTGAAGAAAATAATAGAAGAGAGTTTCCCTTATATATTCTCTCATATGTCTAATTAAGGTGATCATGATTAAGATATTTATTTATGTGGAACTTAGATTGGGCATGAAGAAAACATCAGACATAATTTTTGCTTAAAAAAAATATTTCATGCTAATCCCACAATGAGAGAAAATGTGAATCAATAAGTTTATTTTTATTATTAATAATTCGATCTTAAATTTTTAAGAATCTTGTAAATCTTAACTCGAAAAGCCATACAGACACATTGCGCTAGACTCCCTGCTCCAAAACCATTCATTTTTGGGACAAGTTGATTCAGGCAGTGATTTATTAGTTATCATAAATATATATGGGGTGTCCCT